GTCATCGAGTAGAATCTGACTCATAGCGACCCTATAGCATAAAATAGAACTGTAAAGATTACAGCTTTGGAAACCCTATCGTCAGTTGTAGTCTGTCCGATAAAACAAAAAACCAAACTCACTGCGGTGGAGTCGGATCCGGCTCATAACTACCCGTCCTTGGGTTTCCGAGGCGGTATCACTATGGAAGTACATTGCCCAACTTTCCTTCCGAGGAGTGGCTGGTGGGTTTGAACTTCCAGCCTTCTAGTTAACAGTCATAACATGTCTATAGGACAGTGCGTTAGGCACTCTGCCACCAGTCTGTCCTATAGGGTAGCTATATGTTGGAATGTACTCAGAGCAATGGGTTTGGTTTGAGTTATTTACTGTTGGTGGTGACGCAAACAGTGATGCTGGGAAGAAAGGCCTGGTGATCTACTTCTGAAAATCAGTCACTGAGAACCCTGTGGAGTTCTGCTCTGACACCTGTGGGGTCTCCATGAGTCAAACAACAGGATGGCAGCTGGTTTGTTTTTTGTTTTTTAACTGTGTATCCAGATGGGTGCAGTGGTGGTCTAGTGATAAAATTCTCACCTTCCCTGTAGGAGACCTAAGTTTAATTTCCAGCTGAAGCATCTCATATACAGCCACCACCACCTGTCTTTCAGTGGAGACTTGCATGTGGCTATGATGCTGATCAGGTTTCAGTGGAGCTTCCAGACTAAGATCTCACAGGACAAGGCAGTGTTTTGTTCTGTTGTGTATGCACTGCCATGAGTTAGGGGGCTGACTGGACAGCAGTTCACAACTTTATGTCCAGAGCTCTACATTAATTATGCCACTTAATCCTCAAGATAACCCTATGTGGTGTACCAGTAATGTCATTTACAATTAGGGAAACTGAAACATGGAGGTAAGCAACTTTGGAAGGTTGCACAGATCTTAAGCAGTGGACTCAGCTTCTGGCCCCCATGCTTTTAAGTACAACAGGTCGTAGGGGAAAACATGCTGGAGTGGACTATAATATCTAATCATAGTCATTGCCTTACAGGGATATTGTGAACTTGGCTCCTGTAAAGCTGTAAAGGGTGCAGGATCATTGCTGAGGGTTAGCAGATATTTTTAATCTAAGTGTTTGTTTAGTGGAATTTTTGTTAATTCTTTGCAAGTCACTTGTCCCAGACTTAGCAGACTCCCTATCTTTCCTGCTTTCCTAAACCTTAGGGCCTAAGGTGAATTGCTCCTTGACAGGGTTAAAATTCCTGGGCTGTGATCTTCTCCATCCTAGAGATTCCCCAAGAACCCTGGGGCTTAGCCCAGACCTTACTTATAGAATGAGCTACAGAGCTAGCCCAGAGTCCCAGACTTCCCTTCTGTTTTGTTACCAGTTCTGGTGCATTAACCTGGAGAGGCTCCTAGGTGTGTGGATCTGTACATAGTCAACTCTACACAAACCAGGGCCAGAAAGTGGCCAGACACTCATTCAGGTCTTAAGTTTCTATTGGAGATACTCTATAGGCTCTAGCCTCTGCTGGACTGTGATCCACTTTAATGACCCATACACCACCCAACGCCTTGATCTTCTGTTATCCCCCTGGCAGGAACAAACCTGGACCTTGTCCACCCAAATTGTTCCTTCTCTGAATCCAAACTCTGAAGTTCTACTCTATCATTTTCCATCCTACCTTTGCCCTTACCCTCAATCTGATCTTTAAGTGCAAGAAAACCTCTGTTCCTGAAAATGACTCCTTCTCTTTTCATCCTTCCAACCAGAAAATACTTATTCAGTATCTGCCCATTGCCAGATACTCTGCTCTAGGCCAGTAGTTTTCAAAGTGTGGTCCCCAGGCCAGCAGCATCAACAGCATGTGGGAGGTTGTTAGAAATACAAATTCTTGGGCCTCACCCCAGACCTACGGAATCAGAAACTCTGGGCTTCAAAACCAAAAAAACCAAAACTACTGCCATTAAGTTGATGCTGACTATAGTGACTTTACATAGGATGGGGGGAACTGCCCCATAGGGTTTCCAAGGCTGGAAATCTTCACAGAAGCAGACTGCCACATATTTCTCCCACTGAGCAGCTAGCTGGTAGGTTTAAATAATCCACTTTTTCATTAGCAGCCTACCATTTTAACCACTGTACCACCAGGACTCCGACTCTGGGCTTCAAATGCACTGCCACTGAGTCAGATCCGACTCATAGTGACTCCTCCCTGGGTTTCTGAGGTGATATCACTATGGAAGTAGATTGCCAAACTTTCCTTCCGAGGAGTGGCTGGTGGATTTTAACCTCCAGCCTTCTGGTTAGCAGTCAAATGCCTCAGGCACTACGTCACGAGAAATACGTGTTTTAGAAAGCTCTCAGGATGATTCTGATGCTCTCTCAGGTTTGAGAACCACTGGTCTAGGTCTTGGGTCCTCTTGGCTTCACTTTATCTACTGGATCTCAGGAGTGTTTCAGGCACAATCACGGTATCCTCTTACTTCACTTGATCTTCCAAGACCCCTCACTCTTCCTAACTTCAACCCTGGATCAACCCAACCGTCTCTTTTTCTCTTTTGTTCCAGAGTTGGTCAGAGTAATCTACACTATCTACTTTAACTTCTATTAATTTCTCACCAGTAAAACCAAACACACTGCCATCAAGTCGATTCTGATTCACAGCAACCCACATTGGGTTTGCAAGACTATAAATCTTTATCGAAGCAGATTATTTCATTTTTCTCCCATGGAGCAGCTGGTGGATTCAAACTGCTGACCTTCTGGTTAGCAGCCAAATGCTTTAACCACTGCACCACCAGAGCTTCTTGTTAACTTCTTAAAAAACCAAAACCAAACTCACTGCTATTGAGTCAGATCTGACTCATAGTGACCCCTCAAGTTTCTGAGGTGATATCACTATGGAAGTAGATTTCCCAGTATTCCTGCTGAGGAGTGGCCAGTGGGTTTGAACTGCCAGCCTTCTGGTTAGCAGTCAAATGCCTTAGGCACTATGGTACCAGAGTTTCCAAGACTTGGAAAGCCCTTCAAGTCCAGGGACTAAGTCTTGTTCATGCCTGCCTGCCTAGAAGTAGCCAACAGTGGTCCTCTCTGCCTGTTTGTGAAATTAAAAACATTAAAACCCAGGAACTCTGGGTTTAAGATGTTCTTAGAGGTGAGAGGCTATGCAGAGAGCCTAGGAAGCATGTAACTAACAGCCTACTAACTAATAGCGTAGTGCCTAAGGCACTTGACTGCTAACCAGAAGGCTGGCAGTTCAAACCCACCAGCCACTCCTCGGAAGGAAGATGGGGCAATCTACTTCCATAGTGATACTGCCTCGGAAACCCAAGGAGGGGTCGCTATGAGTCGGGGCTGACTCGAGGGCACATAACAACAACAACAACAACAACTAATTAATAGTATCAATTACAACACAGGCTAATGGGTAGCTTGACATATATTTTTTTTTAAAAACCTTAAAATAATAATTTCTTATTGTTAAAAATAAAACTAAACAGAGGCTTATGAGTAAAAAGTGATTGTCTCTATTTCCCTTTTCCTCCCAATCCCCAAGGGTGGCCGTAGTTAACTCTTTGAGATCTGAATTATTGAAGACATCTTCTATGCTTAGACAACATATTTATATATGTGAAGATATTTTTGTCACATTTGGAATCATATTAGATACAGTATTCTGTTTTTTTAATATCTAAAAAATGAATTAGTGTAAAATCTTTCTATGTCAGTACTGTGCTAGGGGAAAAAAGACCCCAGATTCAAATATATTCTGTAGAGACCTTTTTATTAAGCCTTAAACAGGTAAGACATTTAGCTGCTAACCAGTAGGTTAGCAGTTCAAACCCACCAGCTGCTCCACGGAAGGAAGATGGGGTGATCTACTTCCCTAAAGATTTACAGCCTTGGAAACCCAACAGGGTTGCTATGAGTCAGAATCGACTTGATAGCAGTAAGTTTGGTTTGGTTTGGTTTTTAAACAGGATGAAGACAAACAGACATAATCATCTGGCTGAACAATACCATGAGGTTGATGGAGCCTGATGAAGCACAGCGATGGTTTTCGTATATATAACAGAGAATAAAAGAAATCACAAAATCGTAATTGGTAGCAGGTCAAGTCATCACTGTCAGAGGTGGGACTACAGATCTGGGGAAAGGACTATGACTGGGATAAATACACAATTGCAGCTTAAAAACTTACAAGATTGATTCTGGGGCTTTGACCACCTGACTATGTGGTGGTCAGGACCCATGACCATGTGACCCTGAGTCATAGTCACCAGAACCCCAACTTTTAACTTAGATAACATGTGGCTGTTTTTGGTACCTCATTAAGGACATTCCCAGGCATGTTCTCTAGTTCTTCGTGTGAGCATGATAATAGTTAATCTACTTTCAATGACACTCTTCTTACGGGCAAACTCTTCCTCTTTGGTCTTACCCTGGCCTTGTCCAAGCATAGCCACATTGCTGGTTAAAGGTCAGAAAGAACTTAAATGACATCAGAACTTATGTCA